CCCGGGTGGCTGCCTCTTCGCCTGGGCTGGGTTAGAGTTTAATGGGTCAGGTTCGGATCGGAGCCATTCCCGCGTTATCCAGCACCCACGGGTCGCCGGGTCAGCCGGGAACGGCGCTGCTGCCCAGTCCGTGCCAGCACACCCGGTGCCCCAGGGAGGGTGGAGATTTATTTTCACCTCCGATCCGTTTGGGACAACATCTCTTGACCAAACCGGGGGAGATTTTCAAGTCCCTGTCCCCAAGTTGGGCTTTGCACCCTGATGGGGTCTCTGGCATGTGCCCCCTTCTTCTTGCCTCAGTTTCCCCTGACAAATAACCCTCTTGTGAAACCATCTCCCTGCCGTCGCCGCAAGTTCTAGGAAAGCATTGGCTGAGGATTTCTTCACAACGGGAGATTAATTCCCCCCATCCCAGGGATGACGACATTAGGGCTGCGTAATCCTTGCTGGGATTACGAGGGAAGCGACCACCTGGAGGGAAAGCACCTCCAGGCACCTCCTGCCCGTACGGGGATGCTGGTGTTCTGGGGGAGCGAGGAGAGGGATTGGGATACTTTCTGTTAGTTTTTGGGATGTTTCCCAGCTCCCACCGATGCGTTTGCTTTGCAGGGAGTCTGCAGCTCACCGGTGAGGCTGTGGGGAGGATCTAGGGGGGGGTTTCTTCTCCTTCTACAGCAGGATCATTCCCTGCCGTAGGTGCTTGCAAAGCCCTGCATGAAGAGCCAAGGTTGGGGCAGCAGCAGAAAAATGAGTATAAATGTGGGGGGTTTGAAAGAAATGGGGCTGGCAGAAGGTAGGGGAGAAAAGTGTACCTGACTGTGGCCCACAGAACGTGAATTTTAGCTTTCTGATGATGGGTCAGAGGACAAGTGAAATGCTTCATCCCCTGCAAGGCAGAGAGTCAGCACAAATCCCAAACACGCTGGGGAGGATGTGCCCCAAATCACTCATGTTAAATCATCCTTCGAGGGGGCAGAGAGGGGAATTTATCCCTGTTTCCAACTGAGCTCCTTTTCTTTTAAGAGCATGTGAGTGGTTTCATAGAATCACAGAATGGTTTGGGTTGGAAGGGACCTCAAAGATCATCCAGTTCCAACCCCCCTGCCATGGGCAGGGACCCCTTCCACTACACCAGGTTGCTCAAAGCCCCATCCAACCTGGCCTGGAACACTTCCAGGGATGGGGAAGCCACAGCTTCTCTGGGCAACCTGTGCCAGAGCCTCACCACCCTCAGAGGGAAGAATTTCTTCCTTAGATCCCATCGAAATCTCCCCTCTTCCAGTTTAAAGCCATTGCCCCGTGTCCTGTCACTATGTACCCTTGTAAAAAGTCCCTTTCTACCATTGCTTGTGCTGTTAATTGCGTTGCAGGAGGTATGTAGGGCCCCCTTGACTGCAAACACCATTTTAATTGCAAGATGGCAAAGTCTAGAACCAGATTACAGAACCACTGATGAGCTGCTCTGGCCATGGCCGGTGTTGGGGGAGACTTCTCTCCCCATCTCTCTCCCAGCATGGTCCCCCAGTGTGGAGGAAGCTATACATGGGGTGAATTGTGTTTTCATAGAATCATAGAATAGAATCATAGAATGGTTTGGGTTGGAAGGGACCTTAAAGATCATCTAGTTCCAACCCCCCTGCCATGGGCAGGGACACCCTCCACTACACCAGGTTGCCCAAAGCCTCGTCCAACCTGGCCTGGAACACTTCCAGGGATGTTTTCCTCATCCAAGGGTTGTTGCTAATGAGTGTCCATCTCTTTTCATCCAGGTCACTGGAACATCTTCCGAGCCCAGACATCAGAGCTGAGGATGACAGAGAGCCCAGAGAAGGAAACAAAGAACTTGTAAAGGAAAAAACCCAAACTTTAACCTAGCTATTGATTTTATCTACATACACACACACGTACACACATGCACATATATAGGAAAACCAAAGCTGCATTATTAAATAGACTGGCACAGCAATAAAGGATGCACTAGTGTAAATTCCAGAAACTCCAGCCAATGAACCAGATTGAACCGTCTTGAAGCCGCAGCCGTGGAGGTGCCTCTCTCCGGCGGGGCGCGAGAAGCCGGCCGTCGTCTCCCGCTGCCGAAGGTGTCGGGTGTGCAGAGGGAGGAGGGAGAGACGGCGGAGATGTGAGACCTGGGGCGACGTGGAGAGGTGGGATACCTCCCTGATGCCCCGTTTTTTCTGAAGAACCTCAAGAGCTCGCAGCAAAGCAGAACCTGACCGTGCTTTCTACCAACCGCCAGCATAAAGATGACCTGCAAGGAGAGAAAAATCATCCTTATTTCTTTTCTTGGAGCCCCTATGATCTGCAAAGGGTTTCTTTGGCTCAATACCCTCCAAAGAGCATTTCTTGAAAAGTCTTGGGTCTTTTCTCCTCTGTTTCAGCTGGGAGGATTCTTTTCCCTTCTTTGCAGGTCGCTTGAAGATGTAGTTTTTGGGAGGACCCGCCTGCTGACAGGGTCTGGGACCCTGAGCACTGCACTAAGGTCGCTACTAAGCGTGTTATTATGCTATATATTTATATATATCCTACATAATATCTACTGGGCTGTATTCACAGGAGGGGCATCTCCCAAAGGGCAAACAGGACCATTTCTGCAGCGTGGGGAGGAGGGAATGCAGCAGCATCACCCTCCCCCTGTCTGGAAATAACTTTGGGGGATTTTCAGGTTGTTTCGGTACATGTATTTATCCCTGGTTTCTTGTTTTATTCTGTTTTGATAAATCTATTTATTTGGAGATCCAGATCTGTCCGATAAATCTGATTAAAGTGTCTTCTTGATTCAGCCTCTGGTGCCAGCTCTCCTTTCCCTGTAGGGTCTGTGTTATGACTCTAGGGGCCCCGTTGGGACCCCCATCCCAGTGGGGTGAGACCCCCATCCCAGTGGGGTGAGACCCCTATCCTAGTGGGGTGAGACCCCCATCCCAGTGGGGTGAGACCCCCATCCCAGTGGGGTCTGATCCCCTTGCACTCACTCAGGCAACGTCCTCAAGAGTTGGGCTGGGGGGTCAAGACATGCAGAGAACATCCCAGGGATGCTTCGCTCATCATCAAGGGATCATGCCACCCCACTTGCTTACAGTCTGCAG